TACTAAATCTTGACTTCTGAAAATAAAAGTGACATTTACTCATTGTTTGGATAAGAAGAAAAAGTAGGAAGGAAGGAAAACTTGGATAATTTTTTTAAAGTAAAAACAATTAATATTTTTAAAAAAATTTTCTCCTAATTTTCTCTCTTCCCCTATTTTCTTCTCATTTGTCCTTCATCCAAACCAAGCCTTGATACTTATATTACATATATTATCTTGAGAGAATTTTAGTTAAGGACCACTATAGAGAATTAATTTTAGGTGGATCCAAAAAAAATTTAAAATTTCAATTCAATCTTGAAAAAAAAAGTTAAAAGAATTTTGATAGTGAAAAAACTAGAATACTACTAATTCATTATGTAGAATCACTAGTTATTAATTTACGGGTATGACTTACAAATTAAATGAGTTGATATGTTAACAATTATATAAAACTTGATATCAATTTTTCAATCAAAAGCAGTAGCATCAGTTGTTAAATTATTAACTTTACTTGTTAATTCACTAACATCAATTATAAATAATTGATAAATCTTGTAATTTATTAATATGAATCGTAAATTAGTGACAGGTCTTGTAATTTACAACTGATATTAGTAAATTAACAAATAAAATTAGTAAATTAATAACTAATGTTACTGATTATTTAACAAACGGATATAATTTATAATAGATATTGGCAAATTAACATGTGCAGTAAGAAAATTAATAACTAGTGATTTTGCATAACAAGTTAAGGGTATTTTAGTCTTTTTATCGTCAAAATTCTTTTGATTTTTCTCCTCTGGACTAAACTGAAATTTTAAAATTTTTTGGACAAACTTGAAATTAATTCTTTATAGTGATCTTTAATTGAAGTTCTCCCTATTATCTTTTTCAATTAAATTGTTTATTCCAAAACGTATCAATTATTGTGAAAGTTGAGTATATGTGTGAATGCATACTTTTTTCATTACTTAATCTGTATATAATCGTAATTAAGATTAGTTTGAGTATGCAAAACACGTTTTTAAAAATATTATATATAATTAATTTTCTTCAAATAAATATAGAAATATATGGTGTCACAAAATATTTTGTTAATATTTTTTAAATATTTTGTGTAATTAGGTACAATTATCATTTTCATGTCATTAAAATTATTTTTTAAAAGCTATTCAAACTAATAATCTGTGTGTATATTAATTTTAAAAAAAAAATTGCCCCAACTAGTTCGAGTTCCACCCTGCCAACGTATTTAAAAATATCAGCAAGTAAATTATATTCTTTATTTTAAATTTACTATATGTAAAAGATGGTTTAAATTTTATAAATGAATTGAAATAAAATTTAAATTGTTCAATTTTTATTTGTACATCCACGTTATGGACGTATTGATTATGTAAATAATTGAAATAGGAAATAGAAATATTTGTAAAAATATTAACAATGAAAGCTTTATTTTTTTGTCTAATTGTTAGCATAATACAGGTCTAGTAGCTACACAAACTAATATCTAAATGTGTCTAATAGTTACTCTCAAATGCAATGCATGAGTCAAAAAATATATCTTAACAAAATATATTTCAATGTTTTAATTTATATTATACCATTGTCAATTTATTGTTATTCGTTATACTTCCCCCACTAATATGTGAAAGAAGAAAATTTAGCGTTTCAAGAATAATAAATAAATTGACCAACTTATACAATAATATTGATGACATATTATAAATAGTAATGTTTTTTTATCTATTACAATTTTAATATTTATAATATTTGAGAATCATGATAAGCTTAATTTCTCATAAACAATTTTTATTCATATTAAACTAATACATGAAATTATTAAAATAATCTATCTTGATTTATATATTAATATTAAAATACTTTATAGAAATGTAAGTTTAATTAAACAACTTTTTAATGTGATTTGAAACTAATTGGTTGTGTTTTAACAACTAAAACATAAATCATACCTCACCAATTTCTTAATTAAATAAATTTTCATTAATTTCTTAATTTATATTATACCCTTACCAATTTACTCTAATTTATCATTATTCCCCTTCAAGGAAAAAGAATATTTACATCTAAGGAGTAAACTGTCCAACAAACAAAATGATAATATTGACCGTGTATTACAAATAATAAATTTTTATCTATTAATATTTTATTATCTTTTTTTTAGCCAAATTAATATTTTGTGATATATATTATTTAAAAGTATGAAAATTTTAATTTGTTTTGAAACAATTTTAATTCATATTTGAATTAAAAAAATATAAATGATCCTACCTAAAAAATTAATTAAGCTATACTATAATTAAATGTTTCAATTACGATATCATATATTTCATCTGAATAGAAATTAAACAAGGTTGCAATTTTATTAGAAAAAAATTTATACGTGAATTCAATTAAAATAATCATTGCTTAATCGTTAGGAGAGATGCCCGCATTTAATGTCGACCATGCCTTAAATAGGATTGACTCCAATAAAAAAATACTTGTGAGTAATCAAAAAAATTAAAATCTGTAAATACTTCTCATATGATAGTAATTAAAATAATATGTTGCTTAGTCAAATTAGAGGACATTTTTCTGCTTATTTTATGAAAAAAAACTTATTTTTTGCAAAAAATTATTAAGATTTTATGACATTTGTTTAAACTTTTGAAAATAATCATAATAGAAAAAAATAAATTTATGATTATTTTAAGAAGCTATTTTAAGTAGCTTCTAAAAATAATTTAATACATATCCTGAAAATAATCTAATACCATCATAAAATTTTAAAATACTATAATAATAAATTATTTTTATAAAATAGAAATTAGGAAAGATATTATTAAATTAATTTAAAAATAAGTAACTAATAATTACTTTTTTAATTAAGATAGAAAACATAAAATAATGTCTGTTTTTTTATAAAAATATCTATAAAATAAATTTCTTTTTATAAAATTTTTAAACTCTCTAAAACATTATTTATTTTTTAATCTTAAACAAACAGAACCTTAATACTTTTCTTGTAACCTGTTACTATAATATTTTATAGTTGAGATCAATTAAAATCAAAGGAATTACTTCAAAAATTGAAATTATATTTAGTATATATAATTATTATGAGTAAGTTTATGTTTCAAATTGAATTTGAAATAAAATCCATTTTTGAAATTCAAGACAGCATATCTTGTAATTAAATAAGATAATTTAATTGCATAAAATAAGATGTTGGTCCATCAAATCTTTAAATACATAATATTATTAAGAAGCCATTCCATATTATAATACGTCAACCAAATTTAAAATCACATGATCTAACATCGAACTAAATTAAAACACTTCTAAAATTATAAGAACTATACAAATTACAAATATTGAAAATGTATGATGCTAAAAATAAATTGGATAGTTTATCAAAAGCTTTAGCATTGAACGTGGGGATGAAATTGGCTAATGTTTGGCTTTCCTGTTAATTTTCGTATCAGTTTTAGCTTTCTTTCTTTCAGTTTGGTTTTTTTTTTTTTTTTGGTTTATGTATTCTTAGTTCTTAGTTTAATGGAATTGCATCCTTTTGCTGGCATTAAAAATGAATAGTGTATCAAACACTTCAATATTGCTTCTACTTTGCAGGGCAAATAGTGGTGAGGTACCTGGAAACTCTACGTCTATAGATCCAAAATCATTATAAGCATAACTATAAACTTTTAGATAGATTGCCTCTTACTAAAATGTATGATAAATGACTTCTAAAAAGTTGTAAAAATTTGATTACCTACATAATATGTGCATAACTATAAGCTAAAAAATAAAATAGCTAAATTTGGCGTCACTTTAAAGATGACAATAGACACAAAAACTTACATTAATATCTTGAAAAAAAAATTAATTCAAACCTTTTAAATTATTTGATGAAGTTTACTTGGCCATATTTCATAGATGAAGAATCAAACCATGATATGTTGGTGGCCACACTTTGTCAAAATGATAGCATGAACAACATTAGTGAAATTAACAACCCAAGCTATCAAAATGCGAGATAATTAATACTAATACAAATTAATGAAGAGACTAAAAAAATAATGAAGCATCATGTATATAATAGACTCAAATGAATGAAATACAAGGAAAAAAAACCAGAATCAACAATAATGAATATGTATCTACACAGCTCTATTAAAAAAGTGACTTGTATATAAAAAATTGAAAGTAATTTTTTTAAAAAACTTGGAAGTATTTGCACTCGTGAATATAGTGGAGACAAAGGGAAAAATCCTTAAAAATGAGATAAAAACGAGGCAAGCCCACAAAATGAAAAAAAGAAAAGAAAAGAAAAGAAAAGGAAAGCTAAAAGGCATTGTCATCCTTCAATCATTTGCTTATGAGAGTTTGATGTCCTAAACTTATATATAGTTTAATTTTCTTCTTTAACAATTGAAAAGGATGTACTTAACATCATATCGTTAAAAAAATTAATTTTAACAATTAGTTAATCAAAAATTACAAAAAAAGTATAAAAATTACAAAAAAACCATTAATATATATGTATCTTATAAAAAAATTAATATCAATATTTGCAACTCATTCCTTCCGTTAAAAAATATAAGGCATTTTTTTAAAAGTTGAATGTTAAAAAATATAAGATGTTTTTAGTCTTTCAAGGTATAATCATTGTCTTTTTTTTCAACAATACCTCTATTGATGAATGACTTTATATTTATTGTAGAGTGTTTAATAAGGATAAATATAGAAAGATAAAGTTAATTAAAAATATGTAACTATTTTATTAGGGGATAAAATTTAATTAATAATGTCTTACATTTTTAAGTGGAAGGAGTATTCATTAAAAATTTTGGTCAAAGACATAATTTTTATTAATTCGAAGTTTTGAAACTTTAATGTCAATTTTCCTGTAACTAATAAAAGCAGAGAGGACCATCCTTGCCTGGAAAAGAATTCCAACCCTTGATTTTTGTTTAATCATCAAAGAGCAAATTATGTTAACAATAACATGATTACAAAAAGCCCAAGATATAAGTAGACTAATATCACAGGTTCACAAATAGAAAGAAAAGAAAGAAAACGAGAGACATACAAAACCAAAAGACACAAACAACAACGAAAAAGAAGAAAGAGAACCAAACTTGAAAACGTGACAAAGCTAGCATACCCAAAAAACACACAAGAAAATAAACGGAAGGACACAATGGCAAGCAATCCTCCAATTCAACCCTTAATTGACACAGTGAATATTAAGGAGGAGATAAATACGTAGAATGTTGAGGAGGAAGATGTTCTGCCACGAACAGGAAGAAAATGCCCATAACTCCAGCATGGCCTTGAGTGTTATTGTAGTTTGACTCCAAAGTGATAGTTTCACCCTCCATGATGTTGACAGAACCAGGTTTGGGATAACAAGTGCTCATTCCCACTACATACCCTTCTTCATTTCCTGCTTCCTTTCCTTTTCCATAGATTGGCTTTGAAGAACATATCACCCTTCCATCCTGAAATCACACTCTCACTACCTAATTTCACATAACATACTAAATAATGTCCTTATGCACAGTTCTCCCAATAATTTGATGCTGATGAAAGAAAATTTTATAGTAATTGTAAAGACTCTTTAAATTGTAAACCCTACCCTGATCAATGTAAGTAATTATTACTTAACTCATTTAAACTTTCTATCAAGAGAGAGAGAGAGAGAAAGATAATGACAGTTAAGTCCCAAAATATTAAATTAAAATGATAATTGGGTTCCCAATATAAATTTTTTTAAAAAATAATTTGCAAAAAATGATTAAGTGTGTTATAAACATGAATTTTAGATACAATGTGAGAGTTAACATTTAAAACTTTAATATCTTATTTGCAATTAGAACTCCTAAATTTATAATTTTTGAATTGATATTTTCAACTCATCTTGTTAAAAAAAATTATCAAAGATCTAACTATCATTAATTCAAATTTAGAGATCTGATTGTAATTCTCCCTAAAAAAATATTATAATGATGTGGAGATATAAAATTATATATCTTTTCTTAGCATGATTAATAGAAACTAATGCTCGTATTATGCATGCAATTAATCATCAACATATTGTCTAAGTCTAGTGCTTAATCATTGATTATGCTAAAAACTGAAAGAGAAAATTACCTTTCCATACAAAGTTAAACCAATTCCACCTGAATGTTGATGGCCAACACCATAGATGACATGACCTCCTCTAGGCATTGGGAGCCTTGATCTCTTCACATGAACACATGCACTTCTATCTTTTTGCTTCTCGTTGCATGACTCAACTTGATACTCAAACTGTAACAAAAAGAAATATCTGTTTCTTACTTACACTGACACTATAAATATTGTGTTTTAAACACTACAAGAAAGCAACAAAATTTTTGGGTAATCAACATATATGGGAACATTTTGTTGACATGCCTCTTGAGGGTTAAGGCTCTCGTGCGCATATGCAGGAGATGATGCAAGCAGTTGAAAAATTACTTCTTGATCCAATTTTAGTTTGAAAAAACACAATCTTTGATTATTATAGTTTCATTTGGTTTTATTTTTAGTCTTTATAATTTTTTTTTCAGTATTTTGAATCCTTATATTTTTAAAAAGATTAGGTTACTTTGTTTTTTAAGTTCTTGTAGTTTTCATTTTTCAATAGTTTTAGTTCCTACACTAAAAAAATTATAGTGTCTAAAAGAAAAATCAATAAAATTTTCGGGATTAAAAATTATTTTATCTTTTTTAGTTTTAATAAAACCATGAACCTATTTGGTTTCCAAAAGTACTTTTAGTGCCATGGTAATGGGACTTTTTTTTTTACAAAAAATGAGGTGTTTCTTGTGAAAAAAAAAAATCCACGAGAATTATGCTGTTTTCTTGGTGTGAAAGTTGAACTTAAATTCAAACCAACCATGTGTGTTTGGATAAGAGATATAATCGATTTTTTTTATCCCAAAATTGATTTTTTGAACCAATTTACCTAAACAGTCAAAAAAGTTCAAAATTAATTATGGGGTAAGACTTGCATTTTTTCCTAAGCTCCTTTGATCAGCTTTGTGTCAAAAGTTGATCAAAAGTGTTGGAAAAATTATAAAAAAAACCCAAAAAAGTTATTAAAAAAGCACAACATTAAATAAAAATAAAATTAAACTCTCTTCTCTTAACTTTTTTTCTTAATAAAATTTAAATTTTGTATCCTTAAAAAATTAATGTTTGGTATTTAAGAATTAAATTATATAGTAATTTGTATAGATAAAATTAATTCTGATTAAATTATCAAAATATCTTAATTTTTGTTAAAATTAATTTTAAAAAAACAGTATCCAAATAGATTACATTATAACATAATCAATTATGAATAAAATCTATCACTTAATCAATTATTTTCATAATCTATTATATCTAACTAAAATTTAAAAGAGTACTAAAAATAATTCACTTACTTACCATACATTTATGGGTTGTACTCCTTGTTTTGGAAGATCCACTGGATGATATTTGCAAAGTATCAGTCACATCAATTGAGTAGATGTTAAGAGGAACAATCAAATCACTCCAATCAATCCACTTAACTGTATATCTAATATGCAGGCTTCTCTTTGGTCCTTTAAAACCTTCCCTCAGCTTGCATTGAGCTTTATGATCACAACACTTCGAACCACCTTTATAATCCAATTCCAAAGGCCTCCCAAATCCATCCTTTGTGATGTTATAAAGATCACACCTACACTCAGTACATCCTAACTTATCTACTACACCTCTCGTATCAATTGCATGAACATTAAGCATCCATTTTTCTTCATGCCCTTTTGGGATCTCAGCAAGATTTCCTATTTCTACCCCAAAAGGATTTGGAATATATGTTTCAGTTCTTCGTGTTTCGGACCCGATGGCGAAATAATGTATTAGAAAATCATTCTGACATATCCCACTATTCCTTATCACAAAATGACCCAAGGCTGCTTCATCAGGTACTCTTGGGCCTTCCTTGAGTGTGCTTGTATTGCCTTTCTGTTGATGGTATCTGATCACAAGCCAATGGTGGAGATAAGTCTCATGAAGAGGTACAGAATTGCCTTGTTCATCAACTACTTCACCATTGAAGCTCTTGATTGCAATATGGCCTTTTGGGAAGGGAATATCGTAGTAATATCTATTTAGAACTGAGCCAGGTGTTAGTTCAAATTTGGGGGACAAAAAGACAGCTTCCTTCATCATCTGATTTCCAATACTCTTCCTTGAAGCATCAGATAGTATTGTTGTGCCTAGTAAGAGCAAAAGTATTGCTGATATCCAAGCTCCTGAAAGAACTTGCATGTTGATTCTGTTGACAATATTGACAAAACTCGTTAGTTTTCTTACTTCTACAAGAAAACCCATGTTAACATGAGGAAAATGCTGAGAACCGAAGAATTCTACTTGAAAGAGGAATAAACACACCACACTGGAATCATACAATAAGCTGCTTATAATTACAGTACTCTTCTATCCTTCAATTTCAACTTGTTAAGTCCCATACATGAGCTAATGACTCACAATACAAGAAGTCTTCATTGATTTTCAACAAACACGTAAAAGACTCCCAAAATACTCATAGACATTAACAATATTGCTTATTAAATTTACTTACTTTAAAAATAAAATTCTTGCATTTAATAATTTTTCCAACGTAATAGTAAAAAAGTAAAGTTAGATACAATAATTATTAAGATGCTATATAAATAGGACTAAAATAAATATTCTTGACTTATAAATGAGATTATGGGAGAGGAGTAAACAACAACAATGATAAACATGAAAATCTTTAACCATACTGATGGACAAGATCATTATTGACTACAGAAAACTCAAATGCAAGGACACATCTAACAAGAAACAATATCAATGAAACACCCCCAGGTAAAGGTAAAAATTTAATCATCAACTATTTTTTGAGGACCATTGAATAGCTTATACTATGAGTGATATAAAATAAATCATCAACTATCAAAATTAGAGTAGCTAGCACCTTCCGTCACTTTTTAACAAACGATCGTTTGTAAAAATTGTAAGGCCCACATTAATTTAATTTCTCTCTCTCATTTTCAGAATGCACCTCTGGCACATTCTCTCTCTCTCTCTCTGCCTTAAGAACTCTTGCATGATTGGCCTTCTTCATGTTTGTGGCATGAAAAAGCCAGAACAGGCTTCCATTAGGCATGTAATCAAAGACTAGCAACTTCTCTTCCTTAGAAAAATAGTAAGTTCTCAGATTAACAATATTTAGATATCTTAGATTTCTTAGAATTTTCATGTTTTGCTCAAACTCTTTCTTCCCTCCAATCTGAGCATCTTTGAGTCTCTTGATAGCGATGATGCTGCTGTCTTCTTCCTTCTCTCTCTCATGCATGCAAGCCCACTACCAGAACTTCCTCTTCTACACTTTACCTCTAATCACATCAAGCCTCCAATCCTCATTGGTCAGCATCAAAGGTGCTACCACTCTCTCGTCAAATGGTGCCCTCCACCTCTACTACCTCCAGCTCCTCCATCATCTTGTCACTGGGAATCTCGTATAGGATTCACTAGGTTGAGGAATTTCAATTCCTACCTTGATCTCCAGCAAGAGTCTTGCAGACAGAAATGTTGTGAATGTTAATCTCCCTCTCTCTCGCTCCTTAAGCTTCTCTTCTACTTCTAGTAATTCGATGCGTAGTTTTGTTAACGTTAACTAGAAACGACATCATCATACCACAAGTGAGAACTCATTACCATCTTCCTCTAACAGTGGTAGTCACCAATCTTCATTGGGTGAGTATGTTAGCCATGTTGCAGAAAAACGGATATGGTGAAAGTGGGGAGAGAGAGTGAGAGTGGGGATGAATGTGTGGACGAAGAAGGAGAGAGAGAGAGAGAGAGAAAGTGTGGGTCCCATTCTATTAAAAATAAATGAAAGATAATGAGAAATGGACGGTAGGTGATGGATTTTGATAGTTGATAATTTTTTTTACACCACCTTATAATATAGGTTAATTCAATACTTCTCAAAAAATAGTTAATGGTTAAATTTGCACTTTTACCCAAAGATTTCCTCAAAGAATTCAATATCTAATAAGAATTCAATCTGTTTAGAATTCTTGTGAGGTATTAAATTCTTTCAAGTTTTTTTTTATTGATATTCTCCCTTTAAACAGTTATTAATCTTGCATGGAAACTTGAGAAAAAGAAAATAAGAATGGAGACGCGAAGACTATAAAGAAAGCAGATACATCAGAGAAGAGGAAAAACTGAGCAATGGAAGATGAAAGAGCATACCGCATAAGACGAGACTTGAGAGAAAGCAAGAGAAGCATAATAAGGCTAAGTAGTGAAGATTTTGATTTTCAGACTTCAACCACAACCCATTTTGTCATATAGGCACTGGGAGGAAGTGACGAAGATTTTTTTGCGATTGAAAACTAATTAAAATTTAAATGAAATTAAGAGATAAACACATTGGTCTGTGTGTGTGGACGAGCTGAAACTTTCATTTAGCACCTAAGAATTTCTCTCAATTTTGTCCGTGGGAAATGGACATTTGGCATTGATTCTTATTTTGTCCAAAAGACACTTGACATTGACAGTTGACAATAATTTGATGGACGGGATCAAAATGTAATTATTTTTAATCTCAATTTAAAATATAAACAATTTAATATATATATATATATATATTTCATATTATTATGTATATTCAATAATCTAAGTTCTTTTATAAAATTATCTATTGGCAATTAAATTAACAATAAAAAATAATATATTTTTTTCATGAAAATTAAAATTTTATTAATGTATAAATTAAAAAAAAAAACGGTTTATATTTTGAATGAAGTAGATTCACACTTGCCGCATATCATTAAGAGATGCGCCTCAACCGTCAATTTCATTCGGAAAAGCAAAGAAAAACTGCGTGGAACGTTGAGGGGGTGGTGTGAACACGTTTAAAGAAAATGATCTCACAATAATAAAAAAACTGTTTTCATACTACAATTATTAATGGTGTTCACAAACAAAACTACAATCATTAAAGTCGTTCCAAGATCAAGCGTGATTTTATTGCAGGACTTGAACCCAAAAAAACAAAAGGTTTTGAAAAAAAATTAATAATTCCGTTAAATAATAAATACTAAAGTAAAAAAAAGTAAAAAGATTACTTCCTCTTTTTTGTAAGACATTTTTAACTGAGTTTCACCTCTCATAAGGTACTTACTTGTCTTCAAACTAACATTATTTTTCTATATTTACCCTTATTTAATAAGGTGTTTCACATTAAAATAAATATAAAGTAATTCATTCAATAAGAGCACTTAAAAAAAGACAATGATTATACCTTAAAAGACTAAAAATACCTTATTTGAACATTCAATCCTTAAAAAAATGTCTTATATTTTTTAACGAGAGAGTAAAAAGAAAGGAATTTGAATAACTGAAAACAACAGAGCAGAAATTAATGGCAAGGCAAATAATTTCATTTGGCACAATATTTGCGCTATGGATTTCCTAGACATTCTTTTATCGAATGCTCCATGGCCTTGGCTTGGCTCTATGATGGATGAATGATTTGATTTCTCTATTAATTTTATGTCTCAATTCATGTATCAAATAAGATTGAGCAAAGTAATGTGTGCATACTTGAAGAATTCATGAACGCTTACTAGAGACACCTCGATTACCTCGAGTGTAGACAGATGCACAACCCACTAGACCTTTAGTCTTCAGAGAGTGCAGAGATAATAGAGTAAATTAAAGGTATTGTGTGTTTAGTGGTTATCGATTGATCGACTTATAAGGATTAAATAAGTAACCACTTTATTAAATAAATAAGTAATTATATTATATTCCATTATCTCTGACTCAGTCAATTTAGAGATAAGGAATAACAGACGGCTACTGAGTTATAGATTGGGCCTCTGCCCATTGGGTTCACTTATGTGGTCCCCCTATTATGGTCCACACAAGATCATAAAGATCAATCTATTTGGACTTATTAATTAATGTAAATTCATAAATAAATATTTCAACAATCTCCCACTTGGATTGCATTAATTAAGCAAGTTATATAAACAAGCCACAAACAAAATTCAAAAAATGAAACTTTACAAAATCACTGGATCCTATAGGGAAATAAGTGATATAATATCTCATAATCTAAATAAAATATGAAATCTTATTCTAACACAGCTTAATAAGATAATAATATAAATCACTGATTCTTATGGGGAAACAAGTCACCTGCATAGCGTACCATAATAGAATCATTGAATCTTATAGGGATACAAATGATATAGACACATTTAACTGAACTGTACATAACTTACAGAAGAAAACAAAGCCTAAAGAAAAATTGTAATATAAAATATTCTCAGACTCCTACTAAACCAGGGCATCAAAAGAATTCACAATACCCATACAAATTACATGATTTTGAAAAAATTCTACAGGTAAGCCCTTGGTCAATGGATTTACAAGCATCTACGTGCCAGGAATGTGTATCACACAGGTTTGAGATTCAACAATTTTCTCTCTCACAAACATAAGTTTGATATCAAAATGCTTTGTACGACTACAGTTTCTATGGTTATTAGCATAGTATACTTCAAATTTTTTATCACATTAAATGGTTAGAGAACGTGATATTGACTCAACTAGATGCATGCTAGATATCAACTTCCTTAGCCATATAGCTTGATGTGTAGTCTTAAAACAAGCAATATACTCAGCTTTCATAGATGAAATTGCTGTAAGTGTCTATTTCATACTTTTCCAAGAAATAGCTCTTCCAGACAACTTGCAAATATAGCTGGTTATGGATTTACGATCCTCCAAACAGGAGATAAAGTCTAAATCTAAAAAATTAACAATTTCAAGATCTTCTGATCCTTTAAAGTCATAATTAGAAAACTCAACAACCTTAAAAGAATTTGACATTCTGTAGGTCAACATATAATTCTTTATACTTTGAAGATGCCTCATAACTTTCTTAGCAGCCTTCCAATGATTCAGACCTGTATCATCTAAGTGTCAATCTAGCAATCCAATGGCAAATGCTATATCTAGTTGGGTACACACTTGAACATACACAAGGCTGCTAATAGTGGAAGTATAGCTTTCTCATTTTAGCCCTCTTCTTATCATCCTTAGAATACTGTAACTCTAATAATAGTTCACCTTTTTGGATAAGAGTAGCTGAGAGAAAACATGAATCCATTCTAAATTTCTTAAGTACCCGCTCAAGGTGGTCTGTGATAAACCAAGACCACTATGAGATCTATTATGATAAATCTGTATCCCAAGAATGAAGGAGGCTTCATCTATGTTCTTCATGTCAAAATGGCTAGACAATAGGTGTTTTATCTCATTAAGAAAATCTATTGAATTGCTAGCTAGCAAGATATCATCAACATAGAAAATAAGAATGGAAAAATTGTTCCCATGAAACTTCTGATAGATACACTGATTTGAGACATTCTCAACAAAACCAAGCGAGGTGATAACTTCATTAAACTTCAAATACCATTGCCTAGAGGCTTGTTTTAACTAATAGATGGATCTCTTTAATTTGCACACTAGACGTTCTTTACCAGATTCAATAAAACCATCAGGTTGTGTTATGTAGACTTCTTCATACAAGTCACCATTCAAGAACGCAGTCTTGACATCTGTTTGGTGAAGATCAAGATAAAACTATGCAACTAAAGCCATTACCACTCTAAAAGCATCATTAGTGGATACCAAAGAGAAGGTCTCTATGTAATCGATACTTTCTTTTTGATTGTAGCCTTTAGTTATAAGTCTGGCTTTGTATTTATCAACTTCACTTATAACTCTTCATTTTGTTTTAAAGACCTACTTGCAACCCATTGGTTTAAAACCCTTTGGTAGCTCTACAAGCTCCCATACGTCATTGTGGTACATAGAAGCGATTTCTTCACTCATAGCCGCCAACCATTTAGAAGAATGAGTACTAGAAATAGCTTCTTGATAAGATATTGAGTCTAAACAATCAATAGCATCTGAATCAAATTCCTGTAAATACACCATGTAATCATCTAGAATAGTAGACCTATGAACCCTTTGGGACCGTCTTGGTTCAACGACCATATCCTTATTATGCTCTAAAGGTGGTTTATCTTCAACTTCATTCTGATCCACGACATTTTTTCTTTCAACATGAGGGGTTGTCACAATAAGTATAAGCAAAATATTGCTTTCATCATGTAAAGTGACATACTTAAGCACAGAGCTCCCACTGTCTAAAGCATCTTTAAAGAAACAAACTCAGTCAGATTCAATAAACCTTATAGTGTGATTTGGATAATAGAACATATACCCACGAGGTATGATGTAATATCCAACAAAAAAACTATCAATAGTTTTAGCATCAAGTTTCATCTGTTATTAAATGTAAGGTTTTACTTGTGCTTTACAACCCTCGTATATGCTTTAGCACAGGAGTCTTTTCAAAATACAACTCATATGTAGTCTTTAGAATTGACTTGCTAGGAACCTGATTCAAAATATAAACAGTAGTTTTAAGCACATCACCCAATAACAATTTCAATAGTGAGGAGTGACTAATCATGCTTCTAACCATATCCATGAGAGTACGATTTCACCTTTCTACAATCCCATTCAACTGTGGGGTGCCATGCATAGTATATTGAGCTTCAATGCCATGCTCTTGAAGGTACAAAGTAAATGGCCCAGGGTTCCTACCAATCTCAGCATATCTCCTATAAAATTATCCTCCTTTGTCAAATATCACACATTTGATCAACTTGCTAGATTTTAATTCGATTGCTGCCTTAAAGGTCTTGGATGCATTAAGAGACTCACCCTTTTCATGTAAGAGTTTAATCCATCTATGACGAGAGTAATCATTTATAAAGGTGATAAAATATCTGAAACCACCCATAGCCTCCATTTAATAAGTGCACAGATGTCAGTATGGATTAGGTCTAAAGTGTTTTCAGACCTCTTTTCCCCTTTGATTCTAGCTCTAGTAGGGAATTTTCCTTTTATGAAATTAACACAAGTCTTAAAATCTAAGAAATTAAGGTCTTGTAAGACACCTTGCTTGGCTATGTGTTCCAATCTCTCTTTAGAAATATGACTTAAATGATGATGCCATAACATAGAGGAATTATCATTAGGCCTTTGATGTTTATGCCTAATAGCAGCATTGATTTGGAGAATAAAAAATTCAAGTAACTAATCATTCAATCGATATAAACTATATATCAAGGAAGCAAAACCAACATTAATGGAATCAAAAAGAATATTAATTTTTTTATTTCCTTGGAAGAATGAATAACCACAAATATTCAATGCAGAAGTTGAAATTAAATTCCTTTTTGTAGAAGGTAAAAAAATAACATTGTTCAAATTTAAAACATGTCCAAGATTTAAACATAATTTCCAATGCG